GCTGCGGTGGCCGGGAGCGGCCACTGCACTCCAGTCTGGGCGACAGAGTGAGACTCCAACTAAAAAAAAAAAGATCTGACTTCCTGGGTTCCAGTCAGTTCTGTTTTGTTTTTGTTTTTCTTTCTCTTTTTTTTTTGAGTCTTACTCTGTTGCCCAGGCTGGAGTGCAGTGGCAAACTCACGGCCACCCCAGTATCGACCTGCTGGGCTCTGGTAATCCTTCTGCCTCAGCCTTCCAAGTAGCTGAAACTATAGGCACATGCTATCACACCCAGCTAATTTTTTAAAAACTTTATTGTAGAGATGAGGTCTCACCAAGTTGCCTGGGCTGGTCTCAAACCCGTGGACTCAGGCCATCCACTCGCCTCAGTCTCCCAAAGTGCTGGGATTACAGGCTGAGCCACCGAGCCTGGCCTAATTTTTTATTTTTATTATAGAGACTAGGTCTTGCCAAGTTGCCTGGGCTGTTCTTGAACCTGCAGTCTCAGCCATTCACCCAGGCCTCCCAAAGTGCTGGGATTACAGGCTGAACCAACTAAGCCAGGCCTAGTTCTGTTTCTTACTAACAGAATAACATTCAGCGAGTTACTTACTATCACAGCTTCTTATGGGACTATTATTACATTTTACAACACATAAAACATACATAGAATTCGCCTAGGACATAGCAGGAGTTCAAAAAGTATCAACTATTGTGAAAACTGTTACTCCATCGTCAACCATGTACGTTGCAAATAAGACAGAATAATTTTCCTTCGAGACTTTTCTTTAGCCTTTAAAAAAATTGTGAGGCATTATCATACAAAAAGAAAAAAGCACAAAGTTTAATAATTATGAGTGAATACCAACGTACTACTTCTAAAATCCTTTTGCATTTGCTCTATTTAATAACCCCTCCAACCTCTCAAATGTAATCACTACTTTGGTTCCTAACACTGTAACAGGTTGTCTGTGTAGTGATATCTATTTTCAAGTACCCAATCATCCCAAAATCTAGTGGCTTAAAACGACAGGTTTTTTTTTGCTAGCTAAAAGTTTGTTGATCAGAAATTCAGGTATAGCTTGACCAGGTAGTTCTGGCTCTGGGTCTCTCAAGAAGTTGGAGTCAAGTTCACTTTCAAGATGGCTCACCCATATGGCTGGTAAGTTGGTGTTGGCTAATGGCAGGGTTCCTTAGCACCTTACCATGCAGATCTTTCTGGAGTGCTTCTTGAGTGTTCTCATAACATTATGACTGGATTTCTTTCTTTTTTTTAAATTTAATGATATATAGAGATGAAGTCTTGCTATGTTGTCCAGGTTAGTCTTGAACTCCTGGCTTCAAGTGATCCTTCTTTCTCAGCCTCCTTAAGTGTTGGGATTACAGGCATGAGTCACTACTCCTGGCCTGTGGCTAGATATCTGAGAGTCAATGACCCAAGAGATAATTCTTTTCTACAACGTAACTTCAGAAGTTACACTTTATAAATTTCATGATATCTATTGGCTATACAGGTCAATCCTATTCAATTGTGGCAGTGGACTACACAAGATCATGGTTGTTTTTGTTTTTCTTTTTGAGTTGGAGTCGCACTCTGTCACTCAGACTGGAGTGCAGTGGCATGCTCACGGCCACTGCTGGGTTCAGGTGATCCTTCTGCCTCAGTCTTCCAAGTAACTGGAACTACAGGCACATGCCACCACACCTGGCTAATTTTTGATTTATTATAGAGTTGAGGTCTCACCAAGTTGCCCAGTCTGGTCTCAAACCTGCGGGCTCAGGCAATCCTCTCATCTCGGTCTCCCAAAGTGCTGGGATTATAGGCATGAGCCACCATGCCCAGCTGATCATGGTTATTATGGGACAAAGACACTGGGGCCATCTTAGAGACTGGTTGCCACAGTCCACCCTGTGACCCCTAGTGATTCGCTTTCCTCCTACATGAAAATGCACTCACCATCTCCCAATGCCCCCAAATGTCTCATTATTATGGTATCATAGCAAAATCTAGAATCTCATTGTTTAATTAGGCTCATGTATATAGATGAGGTCCTTTAGATTCAGTTCATCCTGATGTGAAAATCTTTAAACATACAAGTTATATGTCTCCTATTTACCCAAAGCACAAGGGTGGCATAGCCACTCTCATTCAAAAAGGTGAAAACTGAAAAATGGAGGGGTGAAGTAGATGGAAAGCACCTATGAGTCACTGCTACACAGAAATTTTGAAATCCAGTAGTGAATATGCTGGCAGTTTGTTGATTAGAATTCAAGGTCCAAGAAAGATTTTTCATGACTCTTGGGTTTGTCTTCTGAGTTATCCTTTCCTTTCCATTTACGGTGGCCCTATTTTGCTGCTAAGTAGTTTTTGTAGTCTGCTTCCTGCCTGTAAAAGTTTTGGGATTCAGGCTGGGCTTGATGGCTCAGCCTGTTATCCCAGCACTTTGGGAGGCCGATGTGAATGGACTGCCTGAGCCCGCGGGTTTGAGACCAGCCTGGGCAACATGGTGAGACCTTGTCTCTACAATAAATCAAAAATTAGCTGGGCATGGTGGTGTGTGCCTGTAGTTCCAGCTACTTGGAAGGCTGAGGCAGAAGGATTGCTGGAGCCCAGCAGGTTGGAGCTGGGTTGTCCGTGAGTGTGCCACTGCACTCCAGCCTGGGTGACAGAGTGAGACCCCAATTCAAAAAAAAAAAAAAAAAAAAGTTTCGGGATTCAAAAGTTTCTTTTCCTTTTATAATATTTTGGCCCCATTTTTAAATCCGAGCAGTGTTTCTGCCAATGTAATTATCTTAAAAACCTTTGTGGGTCTCCTAAAAACCTTGTTGGAGTTTATACCACTAGACAAAAGCCACACTCACAAGTGTTTGAGATACATCCTTTTATATCTTGGGCTTCTGCTGGAGTTGCTGAGGACAATACCTTAAGCTTCTTAGAAGTCCTATTGCTTGACTGAACAATTTTCTGAGGTACCTCCTTAAATCTTTCTGAAGTCTGACAAAGAATTTTACAGCAACCCCTTTGGCTTCATCTTTTTAATATGATTTACTGACATTTATCTAGAGTGATCTTTTCTCAGGATCCATTTCTTAAATTTTAATATTCTTTGCCATCCACAGAGGTTGGGGATTTTCAAAGCCAGTAATTCCTAGTTCATTTTTGTTCACTTTATCCTTTTTTCTCTTGTATTTTACTGTAAGCAGCAAGAAGCAGCCAGCATTGAGAATTCTACCTGAAAATCTCCTTAACAAGATCACTCAATTCATTGGGTATATTTTCTAATTTTCACTTTACCATGGGTCACAGTGTTGCTAAACTTCTGTCACCACGTAACAAGAGTCTTTTCCTCTAGTGTTCAATAACATTGTCACACTTTCCTTCAAGCCCTTGTGGCAAACCATCAGGTTTTTGCTCTTCAAGGCCCAATATTCTCCTCTCCTCAGAGTCTTTCCAGCTTCTGTCCACTGCCTGGTTCCAAAGCCTCTCTAACTTTCAGTTTTTGTTATGGAAAAACTTCACTTCTAGGTAGTAAAAACTATATTAGTTATCTATTGCTGCATAATAAATTATATAGCAGCTTAAAGCAATAAACACTTATTGTCTCACACAGTTTCTATGGGTTAAAAATTCAACAGTGGAAGGCCAGATATGGTAGTTCAAGTCTGTAATCCAAGCAATTTGAGAGGCCAAGGCAAGAGGATTGCCTGAGCTCAGGGATTCGAGACCATCCTGGGCAACTTGGTGAGATCTTGTCTCTATAATAAATTTAAAAAATAAGCTGGGTGTGGTAGCGTGCACCTGCAGTTCTGGCTACTTGGAAGGCTGAAGCGGAAGGATCACCTGAGCCCAGTAGGTCAAGGCTGCGATGGCCATGAGCATGCCACTGCACTCTAGCCTGGGTGGCAGAGTGAGACTACAACTCAAAAAAAAAAATTTCAACAGTGGATTAACTGAGCTGTTCTGGCTTAGGGTCTTTCATGAGGCTGCAGCAAGATGTTAGCTGAAGGCTTGACTGGGGCTGGAGGGTCTGCTTCCAAAATAGCTCACTTGTAACTACAAGTTGCTATTGGCTGTGGGCACAAGACCTAAATTCTTTGCCATGTTAACTTGCCCATTGGGCTGCTTGAATTTCCCCTAGAATTTCATGGTACTTGGTTTCCCCTAGAGGAAGTTATCAAACAGATACTTTTCTAGATTTTTAACTTCCCTGCTACCTCATATATTCATAAAAGGATATTTATCATATTTCAAAAGATCTCGAATGAGAGAACATCATCATCTAATTTTTTTTTACAGAGAGGGAGAGAGAAAACCAAGAAAATACAATAATTTGGTATCCACTTTGGGGTCTTCCAACTCCCTATCCAGTGCTCCTTGCACTACATGTGTGGATTCTCATAAGACCTTTGTGCCCCTTGGAGGCCATCTGAGTTAGAAACTACTTTCTGAAAAAAACCAATATAACAAACGTCAATCATTGGCAAAGAGGCAGTAGGACAGGTAATGAAGATACACAAAGCCAAAAGATTATTTCACAAAGTCACTCCATATTACTGGTAGAAAATAAGTCCTTGTACACATATATACATAGAAACACATTAAAATTTGAATCATCTGTGGGTCTATGGTCTAAATGAAAAGGCCATAAAATATAGGTTAGAAAACCTGATCTGAAACTTTGTTTGTGTTACTATTTCTGAGTATTATTCTCCTTTCAGAATTTGTTTCATGTACATAACAGGATGGATGGAGGTATGCATGACTTTTGCTACACATTGGCCAGACTCACCTCTTGCACGTCCCAGGCATGAAGCAGGTACTTTGAAGACACAGTACAAACCACTGATTTCTTTTGTTCATCCATTGTGAAGCCGCTTCCTGAGACATAAGCCATATTTTCTAATTTTTCTAGAAGGAAACATGGGAAATACTTGACTACCAGATAGCTGAGCGATGATCTAAGCCAAATAAAGATTACTAAGTTTTCCTGTATCTTCTTAGGAGGGTTTGAATAACAATTTTGAAGATGATGGAAATTGGGCTTCTGAGTCAGTCAAACATGGGTTCCCCTTGTAGACTGGTCATTTGGGAGATATTAGTCAACTTGTTTTTCCTCTTTAAGCCCAGTTCCCATAGATTTTTTTTTTTTAAATCCCTCTGTCAGAGAACTGTTCTGAGTTTTAAAAGAGATCAGGAATAAAGTGAGAGGTAGAGCCTCTGTTATTTAAGAGTTGCCTTCCCCCACCCCACCCCAGATTTTTATTCTAGGAGGCGTGAGAAGCCTTTGGAAAGAGAGAATAACAGAGCCTGATTTTATGTTGTGAAAAGCTCACTCTTGTTTCTTCATTCAGCACAGACCATGGGGGACAGGAGAGGAAGTGGGAAGACTAGTTGCATGGCTATCATGGCAACTCAATGCTGTTAAATGTTAGTCCCCTTTCCTTTCGTGAACACAGAACCGCATGCAAGAAAAATAAAATAGAGTGGACTTCTGAAAACAAGTTTATCGTGTTCCTTTAGGGCACCTGTTCCCATACCAAGGTTCTCAGATACTTCTTTGTAGATAAAGTCATCTGGCTGTGCCTGTGCCATCCGACGCTCCTCCTTTACTTTGTGGAAGAAAAATTGCTTCCATGTCCTTGTGCCCAGGTGCTGATAGGAAAAGCTGCCTAAGTCCCATCTATCCTGACAGAGCATTCTGAAACAGAGTCACAATCCCATCAGGCTGTCTGTCCTCAGTTCACTTCCACAGAGCACCTGTTACATCACATGACTGACCCCCCCCCCCACACACACACACACACACACTTACTCTAACCATCCCAGGCACTCTCACAACACAGCCACACATAGGCCTGGGCACACAGTGTAAGTGCACAATCAGACTTGTCTCCTTACCCCTTCCCACTGAACCCTGCTCCCTTACCTCCACAGGTGATCATTCTCTGCAATCTTATTCCAGTACTATGGGAGAGAAAGGAAGAGAAGCAGGAACTCAGTACCCTGATGTTGACTCTTCCTCTGCTATCATTTGTTCTGGGAACTGGGCTCACAGACACAATCCCAGCTTCCAAAACACTCATCTGGGGAGACAGTGAACTAGACCTATCTCTGTTACTGTAGGCACTCAGTATTCCAGTGAGCTCAGAGGAAAAATTGTTGATTTCCTAGGGCTTGAAATGGGAGAGCCTTGAGGACCATTTAGTCAGCACCTGCATATTACCTTGTCCTAATTTTTTGATTTATTGTAGAGATGCAGTCTTGCCAAACTGTCCAGGCTAATCTCGGACCTGTGGGCTCAAGCAATCCTCTCACCTCGGCCTCCCAACGTGCTGGGATTATAGGCATGAGCCACTGTGCCTAGCCTTACCTTGTACTTTTCATTTATCGGAGTACGAGACCCTCAGAGCGAATGATGGTAATCCCCGAATTCTCATATATCTCTCTGCTACTCTGCAAATCGGTGCTCAAGAGAAGCGACTGAGCCCCAGGAACACTGGCATATCAGAGCTGAGTGGGTGGGTCTAAATAAATTAAATTGAAGGAATGAAGGAAGGTAATGTGGGTATGATGCTAGGGTGGCTAACATTTCATGGCTGAGGGTAAGAGGCCCTTGCAAGCACTGACACAGAGGAGGGGTATGGGCAATTCAGACAGAGAAAGGGGGTGAGAGAGAGCCTTTACCTTGTTCACTTGAGAGGCCTGTAGCAAACTGAATGGGTCCAGGAAGGAGAAGATTTTCACCATTGGCAAGTCAGGCAATTGGACTTCCATTTTACACCGCCTGAGCCCATATCCGTTTCCTTTCTCCTCTCCAGATTGCTCTGAATTTAAAGGGTTGGCTAAAATCTGCAGCAGTTGTAAGGATTTCCACCCACAACCCAATTGGCTCTGATAGAAACAAGCCGCAAGTGCGCAGACTTCTACCCTGATCTCCGCTTCTGCCTCTTCCCTGGGACCAGATCCACACAGCTGAGGGCATCCCTACCTAAACTCACTTGTTAGTGTTGTTCATCTCAGATGAGCTTAACAACCTTCTCTGCACTGTGAACTGGAAGTGTCGGACCTGGGTCAGCCCCAGTTCCTGATAAACTTGTCAGGACTCTCTAGGAAATGTCAACTAATACACTTACTTTTATCAGATTCAAATCTCTGTGTCGGGGAGCCACCAAAATGGTGGTGCTCAGGTGTGAGGCTGGGGCTCACTGAGGGGGGGCAGTTGTGGTGCCAGTGGGAACTGGGGATGCTCCCAAGGTAATCCCCACCGACCTCTCCAGGAAACTTAACACAATCTCCAAAATTAGCTCAGCCTTTCATGAGAGACAGAGGATAGAGATAGTTGCCAACAAGCAGTCATTGTTTCCACCTCCCCACCTGAAGAGTTAAAGCAAGAACTACAAAGGGCTTGGAATGAGGACACAGGAGAACAAAAACTCAGTATCTCAGTAAATTATCCTTCTACACTTTGTCTTAAGGACATCAAGATGGAAGCATATAAGCATGGTCAACCCAGTCCTTCTTTAGAAGATGCAAAACTCAGAAGACCAATGATCATTGAAATCATAGAAAAAAATTGAATATCTTAGAAAAGAAATGACATTAAATATAGATGGAACAGTGTTGTTTGGAACAACAGCTGGTTCCTCTGGAATTTTGGTGAACTTCATTTTCAGACACTGCTTCAAGGTTAAACATGATATTTTGTTTTTGTTTTTTATTTTGAGTTGGAGTCTCACTCTGTCGCCCAGGATGTAGTGCAGTGGCATGCTCATGACCACTGCAGCGTTGACCTGCTGGGCTCAGGCGATCCCTCCGCCTCAGCCCTCCAAGTAGCTGGAATTACAGGCATGCACCACTATGTCCAGCTAATTTTTTGATTTGTAGAGATGAAATCTCACCAAGTTGCCTAGACTGGTCTCGAACCCCTGGACTCAGGCAATCCTCTCACCTCAGCCTCCCAAAGTGCTGGGATTACAGGCTTGACCCACCACGCCCAGCCAAACCTGATACTTTGGAGATATATGCATCATTGATTATACTTCCATTTTTGTCTACTATAGTTGCTTATAAGCTCCTTGTAACTGATGCTTTGTATTCAGATAACATAAGCAAAGAAAATTGTGTTCTCAGAGGTTCACTGATTGGCATAGTATGTGATGTTTTATATCCCAGTGCTTTGGCTTTTAATAAAAATGGATGTCTGGAAGTCAAGTATAGTACTGTTCCATTGCCACCAAAAGGGTTTTATACCTTTGGTTTCTGCTTTGTCAAACAGAGGTGAAAGCAATTGTGACTCTTCCAATCTTTCAGACAGAATATTAAATGGTCTACAGCATTATGCAATATTTGAAAGGACACTTGAGAAAATTATGCATGAAGAATAACCAAGGAATGAATGGATGCTAACTCAGAATGAATTTTTTTGTGAGGACAACTCAGGTGTTGCTGAAAGACTTAAAAGTAACTCTGAACAATTTGTTTCTGTCCTTTTTGCCTGGTATATAGCAGGTACTCAATAAATATTCAATAATTCAATCAATTTTAAAAAATCTCTTTGTGACTCCCTTTAAGTTCCAAATTACCAGATTAGAAAATCTGTTTGCCACGTTTATATGTCTACCTTGGGACATTGAATCTGGTCACCAGGGCCATCTCTCAGTGCCAACATAGCCTCTGGGTTTCTGCCTTTGCACATTTAACTTTTCAGTGGAAGAAGAAAGAATGAACCAAACAGACCTCTCCGTAGAGGGCTATTCTAAAGGAGCAGGCCTTGTCTAAGATAGCTCTTACAGCCTGTGCCTTCTCCTGGGATGTGACATTTTTCTACAATGACGAATCTCTCAAGTCCTTGAAACTCTATTACATTTGTTTCTATTACAGTCTATTGCCACTCTGTAATTCAGATTGGATACTTTCTATTGTTCTGTGCAGGTTTACTGATTCTTCCCCTGTCTCTTGTGTTTTGTTGCACCCTCCTGCTTTGAGTTTTTTCAGTTGGTTGTTTTATTTTTTCTGTTATAAAATTTACATTTTGGTTTTTTTTTTTGATATCTCCTTCCACTTTGCTGAAACTTTCTATCATCCGCTTGCTTCAAATGTGCTTGCAGTTACTTGCTGAAGAATCTTTACGATGGCTTCTTTAAAACCCTTGCCAGCCGGGCGCAGTGACTCCAGCCTGTAATCCCAGCACTTTGGGAGGCCAAGGCAAGAGGACAGCCTGAGCTCAGGGGTTCGAAACCAGCCTGGGTAACTTGGTAAGACCTCGTCTCTACAATATATCAAAAATTTAGCCGGGCGTGGTAGCATGTGCCTATAGTTCCAGCTACTTGAAAGGCTGAGGCGGAAGGATAGGAAGGATCGCCTGAGCCCAGTAGGTCGACTCTGGGGTGATTGTGAGCGTGCCACTGCACTCCAGCCTGGGCGACAGAGTGAGACTCTGACTCGGAATAATAAAATAAAATCCTTGTCAGATAATGTTAACATTTATCTTATCTCAGTATCAAAGTCTATTGTCTTTTACCATTGATGTTGAGATTTTCCTGATTCTTGGTATGATTAGTGGCTTTTTTTTTTTTGAGTCAGATTCTCATGTTGCCCAGGCTGGTCTCGAACCTGCCGGTTCAGGCAATCCTCTTACATCCGCCTCCCATAGTGCTGGGATTACAGGCGTGAACCACTGCACCTGGCCTGTTGAGTGGTTTTTGATGGAAAGCTGGACAATTTGGGTGTTATGTGATGAGACTCAGGATTTATTTAAGTCTTCTGTTTTAACTGACCTCCTCTGATACTACCTGGGGTGGGAGAAGAGCATTGCAATGTTTTGCTGCCTATTTGCTGCCATGTTACTGTCAAGTGGATGTGAAAAATCCAGGTTTCCCACTTGTCTTCCTTTTTAAAAAAGTAATTAATTAGTTTTTACTTTATTTTATTTTTCTGAGTGGGACTCTCACTCTGTTGCCCAGGGTGGAGTGCATTGGCACGCCCACGGCCACCCATAGCCTTGACCTGCTGGGTTCAGGTGATCCTTCTGCCTCAGACTTCCAAGCAGCTGGAACTACAGGCATGTACCACCACACCTGGCTAATTTTTTGATTTATCGTAGAGACGAGGTCTCACCATGTTGCTCAGGCTGGTCTTGAACCCCTGAACTCCGGCAATCCTCTCTCTTCCACCTCCCAAAGTGTTGGGATTACAGGTGTGAGCCATCATGCCCAGCTAATTCATTTTCAAATTGACAAAAATTATATCTATTTATGGAATCTAACATGATGTTTTTATATATGTATATATTGTGGAATGGCTAATGTAAGAATACCTAAAATCTATTATCTTAGCATCTGTCAAGTATGCAACACATTGTTTTGTTTGTTTGTTTGTTTTGAGTTGGGATCTCACTCTGTCTCCCCGACTGGAGTACAGTGGCAATATCACAGGTACTGCAGCCTCGACTTGAGGTCATCCTTCTGCCTCAGCCTCCCAAGTAGCTAAGACTACAGGTGTGTGCCACCAAACACAGCGAATTTTTTAATTTATTGTAGAGATGAGGTTTCCTCATGTTGTGCAGGCTGGTCCCAAACTCCTGGGCTCAGGCAATCCTCTCACGTCAGTCTCCCAAAGTGTTGGGATTACAGGCGTGAGCCACCATGCCCGGCCAACATATTGTTATTAACTATAATCACCTTGCTATATAATAGACTTATTTAACTTTTTCCTCCTGTTTCAGTGAAATACCCCCAAATTCCCACCCCCTAGTAAGCACTATTCTACTCTTTGCTTGTAAGTTCCAATTTCATAGATTCCACATGTAAGTGAGATCAAGCAATGTATTTGTCTTTCTGTGTCTGTTGTCCATTTGCGTGTCTTCTTTGGAAAAAGTTCTATTCAGATCCTTTGTCCATATTTAAATCAGGTTATTTGTCTTCACTTAACATAATGTCCTCTAGGTTCAGTTATGTTGTCACAAATGACAAGACATCCTTGTTTTTAAGACTGAATAGGGCCAGGTGTGGTGGCTTAAGCCTATAATCCCAGCATTTTGGAAGGCGGAGGCAAGAAGATTGCCTGAACCCATGGGTTTGAGACCAGCCTGGGCAACTTGGCAAGACCACATCTCTACAACAAATCAAAAAATGAGCCGGGCATGGTGGTGTGTGCCTGTAGTTCCAGCTACTTAGAAGGCTGAGGCGGAAGGATCACCTGAGCCCAGCAGGTCGATGCTGGGGTGGCTGTGAGCATGCCACTGCACTCCATCCTGGGTGACAGTGAATCTTTGACTCAAAAAAAAAAAAAAGACTGAACGGTATTCCATTGTGTATATATATGTATGTATATACACCACATAATTCTTTATCCTTTTATTTGTGATGGACACTTAGATTGTTTCCATATTTTGGCTACTGTGAATAATGCTGCAGTCAATATGGGAATGCAGATATCTCTTCAACATACTGATTTCAATTCCTTTGGATAGATATCCAGAAGTAGGACTACTGGATCATATGGTATTTTAATTTTTAATTTACTGAGGAACCTCTATACTATTCCTAATAATGGCTGTACCAATTTACATTCCCATGAACAGTGTACAAGCCTTTCTTTTTCTCCATATCCTTGCCAATACTTTTTAGCTGTTGTCTTTTTGATAACAGCTGTGCTAACAAGTGTGAGGTAATACCTCATTGTGGTTTTAATTTGCATTTCCCTGATGATTAGTGCTGTTGAGCATTTTTTTTCCCCAAATGTCTGTTGTCTATTTGTGTGTCTTCTTCGGAAAA